TAAAACATGTTAGTCATGTTAGTTTTATAGGGAACCAATTAAATTTTTAAACTAACCCGTGGAAGCTGTCAAGACTTGGTTTTGATTCTTGAAGACTTTTGGTTTTTTTTCGGTTTTGGTCTTGGGGGAATTTTTTTCCTGGTCTCGATTTTTTGAGCTGCTCCGGCTATGAACCCCCAAAAGACCGTTGAAAAAAAAGAGGAGAGCGGAAGATGATAGTAGGCGTGAAGAGAAAAGGAAGAGAAAGTGAGCCGACAAAAATATTTTTTTTAATTTTTTCCTTTCAAAAATCCTAAAAAAGGGTTACATGATTTTAATTTGTAAAATAAAAACCCCATCCCTAATGAGGAGTTCTGAATTAAAGTATTTATTTTTGAAAAAATTTAAAAATAAAATATTATTTTTAATAATTTAAAAATGTATTAAATTATGTAATTAAAGACTATTTTTCTGTAAATTCATCGTCTGGCCCAATAAATATATTTATTTCTAATGTCCATGATTATAGTGAAAGAATTCTTCCTTCTTTGGTTTTTATTGTGAATAATAATGAAGGAGAAAATAATGAAGAAGAAAATAGTATCAGTACTACAAGTGAAGAGAGAACAGCTTCTGATGTTTTGGATGCTTATGGTAGCGTAATCATTTAAAACTAATTAGCTGTAGTAGTTAATTGAGTGTTTTACCAAGAATAGTTTTTATAACTGTTCCGTTTATGATTTTTTGTGAAACCATAGCTGGGTTTTTTCTAGTTATTTAATAAGCTTTCTTAGGAAATTGTGGACTTTTATGATTTTAAAAAATTTTAATAAACCGTCCTCATTTAATCCCCTAATTTAAATCCTATTAGGGATTTCAGAGCTTTTGCCTCCAAAAATTTTCTATGCCGCCAAATTGCATACAATTTTTTTAAGTTTCGGTTAACCGAAAAATTTGGCGAAAAGGCCTCGGTGACGGCCTAAAGGAAAACAATTAACTAAATATTTAAAAAGGGTTAACCTGACTTTTGACATTATCTATTTTTGGAAAAATTAAGAATTCGAAAGCATTATCCCCACTACAATGCTTAAAGAGAGCCTAACTTAATTTAAAAAATAATTATAAAGGTCAAACAGTTCTTGGTTATGGGGATTTTATTGCCTATGGGATGTTTGTTGGAAAAACAGCTGCAGACATGGGCGGTTGTTTTAATTTGACTGTTTTATTTACAATTATTGGCATTTTATTGGGGTAAATCACTCAATTAAAAGATTATTTAAATCCTTCTTTCAATTAAAGCTTATTATATACACTTAAAAAATCCGAGGCATCTGGCAACGGTGAAGAACCTAATTATTTGCCAGCACTTCCAATTCCTCTCTCAATTGGTGCTATAATTTATTTGACGTCTTTTGCTATCAAAAAATTTTTTGGAAAAAATAATATTTAATAAAGAAATTTCTGTTTAAAAATCTTTTCAATTATTATTTAATTTTTTGTTTTAAATAAAAGAGTTCGAAAGAAATTATTAAATACTAGAATTAGCCTTTTTGATATTTGAGGCTTTCTACAAGGAGAAATGGCGGCTTTTTTTGATCCCCTTTTAATTCGCTAAGGATTAATTTGATAATAAATTATATAAAAAATTTTTAATATTTTAAAATTCGACTGGTTAATTTTGTTGATAATTCACGTATTAAGAAGAGACGCCTTCATAGAAGGAGAGCGAAGAAGGAGAGCCTTCTCACTGAAATACATATCATTTTTATTGTTTAAAGTCAGCCAGGGGGTATTGCAATGTCCGCTATTTTTTAGTTTTCTGGAAACATAATTGTTTTTTTCAGCAAAACAACTATGACTTTTTTAAATAATGAAATACTTATTTTTTGTTTTAGCAAAAAAGAATTGCCACAGTTAGAAGAATTTTAAGCAAAATTCCAAATTCCAGATTTTAGAAAAGTTATGAGCCAAAAAAAGAATTCTGGCGCCAGATAATAAATAATGGAGGATATTGCAATATCACCAGGTTTTTTGAAATTGTTTTTGAGAAAAAAAAATTTTTTTAATTTAATTATTACTAGAATTAATTAGAGACATTCTTATTCTTTTAAAGTTTACCTAGCATTTCCACAAGTAACATTTTTATTTTTAAGTAATTTGGGTTTAACACAAGGAAAAATATAAATATCAACATCCTCAAATCCTGCTCCTCTAGCATTTTTAATATTTTTAATTAAATTCGAATCGACTAAACCAACAGAACGTCCACCACGGATAATTACAAATAAAGCCGATAATTTTTCTTTTAAACAGTTCAAATCCTCGAGAGTTGTTAATTCAGATAAATCAATTCCTTCCATTGAATTTATTGAATTTATTGAAATGAGGCTACTCGAGTTGCTGCTTGTATAATATCTGTTGGTGATCCAGACATATTTTTAGCCCAAAAAGTTCAATTTTAAATTCATTTTCGAATTAATTTTAACTGTAGAAAAGCAGTTGAATTAGCAACGTTTTGAATAGCACCGTTCAAATTATTAAAAAAAATTATTTTCTTCAATTGCTTCTGTCTCGTCCGAATTTAGAGAATTTAATAAAATAAAGACATTTTCCCCTATAAAACTGGCAGTTGAAAGAAATTGGGAATGTTTTTCATTAGAATCAGGATGTAGTTTACCTTAAATTAAATTTTAAATTATTTAAAAATTTGGATATATTTATTTAAAAAATTAATGAAAGCCTCATTAAGAGAGTTTATTATTGAAATTATTTGAGTGGTAAATTGGGGATTTGAATATACATAGAGCAACTAGCTCTTTTGTGCACTGATTTAGTTCGCAAAGGTAATCACCCCCTTGATTAATTGCCGTACAAGCGCGACCATATTTTGGTCCAAAACGCTGAGATTCGAATGTCCATTCAATCGCCTATATTTAAAAAATAGAGAAAAGTTCTATGTAAGAGTTTAGTTAATTAGCAGGATAAGACATGTCATATCAGAAATTTCATATAAGCTGAATAGGCCCCATGGGGAGTTTTTTTCCTTATAAGATAAAACAGAGATGGGTGTTTCCTATTACTCTCGCTAAATACAAAAAACTAAACCTGCGCAGTGCAGGCTAAGAAAAGGACGGCTTGATGGCGAATTGTATCTTTGCCTAATTTAATAGCTGATGCTTTTTTTCATTATTTAATGTTGGCAAATTAAAATTAAAAGTTTGTTGACTACAATCAAGTAACCGTTTAATGGTTATTTCGATAACTTAAGTAAATGATTGTAAATTTTTTGTGTTTTCAAAATTTTGCTTGTAAGATTATTATTAATTATTAAATTATTAAAAAAAATTATTTAAAAAAATTATTAAAAAAATTATTTTCTTCAATTGCTTCTGTCTCGTCCGAATTTATTTTCTTCAATTGCTTCTGTCTCGTCCGAATTTAGAGAATTTAATAAAATAAAGACATTTTCCCCTATAAAACTGGCAGTTGAAAGAAATTGGGAATGTTTTTCATTAGAATCAGGATGTAGTTTACCTTAAATTAAATTTTAAATTATTTAAAAATTTGGATATATTTATTTAAAAAATTAATGAAAGCCTCATTAAGAGAGTTTATTATTGAAATTATTTGAGTGGTAAATTGGGGATTTGAATATACATAGAGCAACTAGCTCTTTTGTGCACTGATTTAGTTCGCAAAGGTAATCACCCCCTTGATTAATTGCCGTACAAGCGCGACCATATTTTGGTCCAAAACGCTGAGATTCGAATGTCCATTCAATCGCCTATATTTAAAAAATAGAGAAAAGTTCTATGTAAGAGTTTAGTTAATTAGCAGGATAAGACATGTCATATCAGAAATTTCATATAAGCTGAATAGGCCCCATGGGGAGTTTTTTTCCTTATAAGATAAAACAGAGATGGGTGTTTCCTATTACTCTCGCTAAATACAAAAAACTAAACCTGCGCAGTGCAGGCTAAGAAAAGGACGGCTTGATGGCGAATTGTATCTTTGCCTAATTTAATAGCTGATGCTTTTTTTCATTATTTAATGTTGGCAAATTAAAATTAAAAGTTTGTTGACTACAATCAAGTAACCGTTTAATGGTTATTTCGATAACTTAAGTAAATGATTGTAAATTTTTTGTGTTTTCAAAATTTTGCTTGTAAGAACAATGCAAAATTCCCTCTTTCTGATAATTTAAAAATAATTTCTGTGGATAATAAAAAACAATTAAAAATTACAGAATAAATTTCATAGGCAATTTGATTGGAGGAAAAGCTGAAAAATGATGCTGCTCGGAAAAATCAACTTCATGTTTTGTTGAATCTTTTAAATTTAATAAAATGGAAAAATCAAAACGTTGATTACTTGATTATCAAAGAAAAAATAACTACCCCTCACAATGATCTCCATTATATCCATAGATATAATGATCAGCATAACAAACTTTAATTTATAAAATAATTAGTGATTCACTTCATTTGTTAAAAGATATTTTTTATCCTTTAATATCTCAATAAAATTATTTATTTTGGAAATAAAATGAGCAAATTGTTTAATTAATCTTTTGATTTTTAAATTGAAAATAAAAAATTTCAATTGTCATATAAGATACAATCATATTAAATTTAAATAGAAATTTGTTGGAATTTCTCAAAAAATGAATGTTTTAAATTATCAAAATCTTTTAAATGGATTAATTAAAATTAGGAATAGAAATATCTGAAAAAAATTAGAAAGATTAACTCGAAGATCGTTTAAAATTACGTCAGCAACTTGGCTTAATCTAACTAAATTGTTGATTGTTTTTGTTGTTGTTGACTTTGTTTTAGTTGATTATGGTTGAAAATTAAGGATTTCAAGGGTTACATGGAGCATTGACATAAGCTTATTGAGTTCGGAAAGATTAAGCATAAAACGTACTATAAAAGCATCGCAATTCTCATAATCTCAACCTCAATTACAACTAGAGCTAAACTTGTTCGCTTTTTCGTCACCTGCTCATCTACAAGTCCGTCATGCGCGTTTCGTTGTCTACCTGGTACTCGGCCCTGTATTGCTGTTTGTCCCGTGCTTCCTGGTGTTTCCTGCTATTCTTGGCCGCGTGTTCTTGGCCTGGTGTTTCCTGCTATGATGTTGGTGCTTCTAACGAAGGAAATAAAGGGTTAGTTTAATTATACCTTATATAATTAATTTAAAATGACCACAACAAATATTTTAACAGGATTTGGGCGCTTCTAATTCTTGCTCTGGTGTTGGTTGGTTCTGTAATGTTCTTTGGCGGTACCAAGGCGAAGCGCAACAGAGAAATGGCTTCAAAAACATACAGGGATCCTCCGCCTGAAAAAACACGGAAAAAGAAACCACAAGTCAAAGGCGGAGGAGGCGGCAAAGAAGGAGGCGGCAAAGAAGGAGGCGGTAAAGACGGAGGCGGTAAAGACGGAGGCGGCAAAGACGGAGGTGGCAAAGACTGAGGTGGCAAAGACGGATGCGGCAAAGACGGAGGTGGCAAAGACGGAGGTGGCAAAGACGGATGCGGCAAAAATGTGGAGGAGGAAATGAACTGAACGTCGCTGATGCCGCAATAAATGAAGGAGACGACAAGAAGTTGTAGATGATTGTTGATGATTGTAAAGAATTGTGTTGTAAAGGATATAGGATGTTATTAGGATATGTTCAATTCAGTATTATTCAAATGTATTTCCCTGCTAATCCCTATATATTTCCTCACAATTTTCCATTCCTAGTACCTAATTATGTATGTATATTGTTGTTTATATAAATAAATCTAAATCTTGAAAATTTCTTTTAAGTCAATTTAGGCTTAATATTGGAAAATTAATTTTAAACCCCTCCATTAAATTCTGAACTTAATGAAAAGAGCTTAAATGAAAAGTCTTTTCTAAGGGCTTAAATTAAAGTCTCATAGCCTAATTTTGTCGGCAAAAATTTTAGATGAAATTTATAACATTTTGATTCAAATACCCTCATTTTGCCAATAATTTCTATTCTTACTGTTGAAGTGAAATTTGATAAATCAGCCATTTTCAGAGTTGATTAAATCAACATAAAGTAAACCTAATTTAGGTAAATTAAAACTTCGGAGGTCTATTTTTTGTGAAACAGGAAACAAAGCTATTTTTCGCTTCTTTAAAATTAATTTGTTATTTTTTAAAAACATAAATAGCTATTCTGATATTTTTCAGAAATTTTATTAATCTTGGTAAGAGTTCAAGATCTTAAAATATTTTATTAAAATATTTTTATTAAAATATTAAAATATTCTTCACAATATAAATCCGCAAATATTAATAAGCGAGGATGAATTTCGAGAGAAAGTATAAAAAGACTCTTGTCAATACATTCGACTTTTAGGCATGGCATTTGAGACTACTGAATCATGCTATTAAATCTAGATTTTATGATAATTCTACGTAAATTATTGCTTATGTTACTTTTAAAAAATTTTTAAATTCAAAAATACAAAATTATTTTTTAAATAATTATTTTAAATCATTATGATTTATTAATGATTTACATTAAAAACTAAAAAACTTATACTGGACATAATATCAATAAATTTAATATTTTCTACTGATTCTTTATGTATTTTCTCTTATTATTTTTCTTTTATAATTTTTATCAAATTTTAATTAATTGTAAAATAATTATTAAAAGATAACAAAAATGTCGTTTAATTATCATTTATTAATTACCCAAATATTTTATTGATTTCCTTAATTACAGGTAATCAAAAGAAGAAAACATGTGTTTTATTAAACCAAAAATTTAAATCAAATAAATTTATTGGTGTTCAATTTTTCTTTTTATTTTGTTCTCTCAAAATTTAATTTTCTTTAATAATTTTTAAAATAATTTATATGACGAATTATAAATAAATAAAAAAATATATATTGTGTAAATTTCCAATGTTTTTATTATTGTGTAAACAATTAAAAACGAGAATCAATTAACACATCTAGTGAATAAGAGCAAACACAAATTATTATTTTTTACCTAGAATTTGCACATTCTACACATTCTACATATTTTTCTATTTTACTTATTTTTTAATATTTTAAATTTGTAATTTAATTAAAAAATAATTTCGAACTAAAATTAAGATGTTTTTATAGATAAATTTTAAAATGAAATTCAAAGCTTAGGGATAGTTATACGATACCACCACCTTTCTTCCCTTCTCGTATCTTGACCGGTCCTGAACGTATTATGGGGAGCTCTTCCATTTAAGAGCTAGATAGCTTTCTCTCATAACAGTTATTACTAGAAGATGTTGCTCAGGGATAGCTCAACTGATAAAAAGTAGGGGCTGATTTCGAATTGTGTTGATAAACTTTTTTGATCAAATTTCGTGTTGAAAATGACCGATAACCTAACCCACCGATAACCTAACCCATCCCTCGTCCACCGATAATGATATCTTCCCTCTCAAAGATGTTAAGTTTGGTCTCTTCTAGCTTGGTCATTTTCCTGCGTCCTTAAAATTGTCTACAAATTATTAAAAAATTGTTTTAGCCTATTTATTTCATTTTTCAATAAATTCATAAAATGCTACAATCACCGAAAAATACTGAAAAATTAATTAACAACCCTCAAAATAATAATCAAAATAATAAAAATAATTTATCATCAATTATAAACCCCTCAATTTATTTTTTAATTAATTTATTATTTATTTACCAATTAATTGTTTATATACAAAATCATAGCCATTTGGGCGGTCTAGTATTGTGGGATACTGCCTTTCTTTTAATTGTTAATGCTGATCCAAGATATCCGTTTCTAAGTTGGTTGTTCGGTGATTGTTCTAAGGAGGTAATTTTTTTTTTGATTAGAAAGATTTAAGAATACCCGGACTGGCATTTTAATATTGACCAACCATCCCTAGATCCTATTACTAAAGTTGGCGATTCCGGTTATCCGGAACCGAAAAAACCACGGATATCCGGAAATTTTCGGTTCGAATATCGGTTCCGGTTCAGGATATCCGGAAATTTCCCAGGAACCGCCATCCTTACCTATTACCTTTACCAGATTTAAATAACAAATTACCTTGTTTTTGTTACAATTTAAATGGTTAATGCTGATCCAAAATATTTTTTAATATACCGTAAATCTCCTAATCTAAGCCCATGCCATATTAGAAGCCCACTGGATGGGGGTATTGAAAAATAGACATTTTTATGTTTGATGACTTTCTTCCATGTTTTTTAAATGATTAAATGATCAAATAATATTTATATTTATTAATTTAATTACTCTCAAAATTTTTTCAAAATGAGAATTTAAATTTACAAAAATTTAAGGAAATATTAACAAGAATAGGACGTGAATCGGTCCCATTGCTTCAAATTATTGGAGTTGTTGTCTTTCAAGCATTACTTTTTGTTAATTTTACCCATGCTATTGAAGCGATATTTTGTGATGATTCTACGTAAATTTTTAATTTTAAAAATTTTTAAAAAATTCAAAAACAAATCTAGTTTTATCAGACCTCCATTTTAGAGACTCTCATTATTTTGCCTACCTAATATGCATATTATGTTTTTCATTTAATATCGATAATAATATTCTTACCTATATTATACCAAAATTTGAAACAGATCCGTTTCATATTTAGTGAGATATTAATAAAATAGGGGCTATCATTTTGTACAGAGTTTAGTTAGGCATTTTTCCTAAAACATGGGTAGAATAGTTCCAAATCAGAAAAGTTCGAAACAGCCGTGATATCGGAACTCGGAATATTTGGGACTCGGAATAGTCCAAATATCGTTATAAGGAAATTGAATTTAAAAAATTTTCGGAACTTGGAAATCTGAAGAAAATAAATTATTATAGAATTTAAAATTGAGGGGTCCTTCTAAATTTATTTTTTTTTTCAAGTTCCCTCTACTCTCAACAATTTATTACAATGGTTGTAATAAATATAATATTCAAATTAATTTTATCAATTTTATTTTCTTCAAAATTTTCAATAAAAGATTTGTCAAAATTAAATAAAATAACAATTCATTTTGGCTCTTCAATAATTATGTTAATTCTATTTTACTTTAATTGGCTATTTACAAATAAAAATAATGAATTAATTAGTAAATGGGATAGATATTTTGGGGCTTTATTTTGTTTATTGTTGTCTGTTGCTACCTTCAAAATTTGTTTGTTTTTATTTTTATTTTTATTGGGAGGGGGAATGAAAATTTTTGAAATTAAAAAAATTTTTCAAAAAATTTTCGAAAAATTTTTGAAATTTGTCAAAAAATTTTTTCAAAATTTTTCAAAAAAATTTTTAAATAATTTCAAACTTAATAAAAGTTTTTTTTTAATTTTTTAAAAAATTTTTCAAAAATTTTCAAGAATTTCCAAAAAAATTTCAAAAAAATTTTTTTTAATTTTCAAAAAATTTGCAAGAAATTTTCAAAAAAATTTTCAAAAAAATTTTTTTTTCTAGTTCGAAAAAATCTCCCATTTCTTCTGTGTGATTCTCCTGAAGGAATTGATGCTAACGAGTTAAAAAAAGAAATTGAAAAAGAGGTTATTAAAATTAATTAAAATAAACATGAAGCAAAATGTTTTAGTTTAAGCAAATTGAATGTCGTCAATTACATATTTATCGAAAATGGCCAAGCAAAACAAGCTTTGAAGCATTTGTGCATATCCAAATAATTGATTGTTCGTTTATGAGAGGAAATGAAGCAAAAATAAAAACTGAAGCAAAAGTCGAAAATGAAGCAGAAAATGAAGCAAAATCGGAAATTGAAGCAAAATCGGAAATTGAAGCAAAACTTGAAGCAGGATCAGAACGTGAAGCAGAAGCAAAAAGTGAAACTGAAGCAAAAATGGAAACTGAAGCAGAAGCAAAAGTTGAAACAAAATCACACTCTGAAGCAAAATATAAAACTGAAGCAAATTTTCAAATTGAAGCAGAAATAGCTGAAAGGCATAAAGAAAATCACGTATTAAAAATAATGAGTTCATTAACCGAATTTTTATACAAAAGAGGGGCCTTAAAAGTTAATATACAACCTTTAATTAATTCTAATATTTTATAGAGAAAAATAAATAAATAAATATTTAAAAATATTATTTTTGTGAAGGAGAATATTATATTGAAATAAGAGAAAAATTTTTGCTAAAAAAGGGAAATAGTGAGAGAATAATTGTTGCTAGTCAAGAGTGTTTTCTAATAACTTTTCGTTCTCCTATACCTCTGAGCGCGGAAGGAATCGTATTTAAAAACAAATAATAAGGATATATAAAATTTGAGTTATAACGTTGGCAGATATATGCCAGAACGAAAGTCGAAAAGGCCACACTCCTGGCATATAATAATAATACTAATAAATACAGTACTTACTGAATTAAAAATGTACTTGTGCTTACTTTGTACTTATTTTTTGTACTTACTTTTTGGTTATAAAATTAAATTTAACTTCAAAATTCTCTAGCGCTGAAAAATGAAGAAATCTGTCTCAAGGATTTCTATATACTTTTAAATTAAACTTTTTGTACTTACACCTAACATTTTCTCGATCACATCTCTGAGGTTATATAAGAAGGAGATCCAACTGTATACCTTGTGTAGATCATAATGTTTGATAAAAGATTGTTAATATTTGTATATAAAATTTATTTTCCATCTAAAATATTAAAAATTGTTTGTTGCTGTTGATTTTACATCTTCTGACGTGTATTTAACTTTTTTGGATTATAAATTTGAGGAAAATTAAAAATATATTTTTCTCTAAAATTTTCTTTAACATCATTTCTTTATAAAAAATGCCAACAAATTTACACGTATGCGTAAAATGCTCATTCAATTTATATTTTAGCAACATCCCTAAAATTTTATTCTATTTATTCTCTCGACTTGTAAAATTTTCAAAAAACAAGGAAGTATTATTGGCTCTGAAAATTACATTTTTGGGCCTATAAAATTCCTGGGCCAATAACGGGTCTATAATCATTTAAAAATTTGTTTTATTTAAATCCTTATAAACCCACTGAATTATGAAATATGGTAAATTATTCCTCTAAAATTAATAAATTAAATTATTCCTCTTCCGACTTTCTTTATCCATTTTTAAATCCCACTCTGATTTTCTGTCTTCTGTTTTAAAATTAGTTTACAGTATCACTTGTAGTAACACTCCAAAGTGAGAGATTCGACTAACAAGGGAACATCGTTTACTGTCATTGCGAATTTAATAATTTTTTTGTACCATTCGATAGAGGACCCTCGACTTAATGTTGTGGAGTGATCCGTTTTTTTGACAAATGACTTTGGGCCGAGTTATGGCCGTTCAAAGTTTCAGTCCTTGGGAGTGGTTCAGTCCTTGGGGGAAAAGAAGCAAGCTATATCCTTTTTTCACTCTCTCTGCCTTCTTCACGTTAAATAACAAAGAGGAAAGATGAGAAATTAGAATCCTGACCTAACAATAAGTTTCTTTCCAGACATCTCCAATAAGCCCCAGAAATCTCCAATGAGGGTCTATCTCGACACTAAATCTTAATTTAAATAGCTTGTTATTATAAAGAAATAATTGAAAATAAAATTATTAAAGTTTTAATTGACTTTAGAAATTATTAATAATGTTTTATCAACTATTATTATTAATTATTTCATCTTTAATTTATTCAAGTAATTCACAACAATGTTCAGGCAAACCTAACTATAATTGCAAATATGGTCCTTAAAAAATTAATTTAAAAAATTTAAAATTTTTAAAGTTTGTAATGGAATTGACTTTTTGGTTGAAGGATTGGAGAATAGTGATTATGGATTGAGTTTAAAAACTTCTGATTATCAGAGAAGCCGTCCTGCTAATGGTGAAATTTTTAAAATTTTATTTTGATATTTATCCTGATGTATGTAAAATAAAAAAGAGGTCCAGCTCGTTAGCATCTGGAATGCTTATTAGGAAAGAAGAAAATGAAAGCAGTTCCCGGTAGCTAAATGGTAAACTTGTACGTGTAAAGCGAAAGTGCCTAGCAATATCTGCCATGAGGCGGCATTCGGGTGGGGATTTCTCAAAAAAGCTTAACTAAGTTCGATAATGTTTCCATGTTAATAATCGTACATAATCTTCAATCACCTGAGAGTCTAATTAATAAAGAGGGCAAAGGGAGAAAAATAAAAAAAACTTTAAAAAATTAAAGGATTTATCAAATGCAATCCAAATTCAACAAAACCAACATTGGTAGATGTATTTTATGACAGCCAAGCAAAACCTGGAATTTATGAACCTGAAGTAAAATTTTAAAAAATTAAAGACTTAAAATTAAATTTTGAGGCAATTCGGGTTCTTTGTGGTAAAAGTGGAGGAATGAAGAATTTCTGTGTTTGTAATGAAGATGGAAATTGTTTTGTACCAGTAAAAAATAATGTTCCTGTTTATGCTGAACTGGCACCTTATTGTGATCAGTATGCGGGTAAGATAAATAGGCCAACGTTTAAAAATTAGAATTAGGAATTGATGAAAGGACGGTCAAGTTTCCTTTCACCTTGGGAAACAGGTGGAATAGCCTCATACTGGAGATCGGAAAATATAAAATCTTGACCGTTAGCTTTGACTCAAAGAAAATCAAAAAGATTGTAAGAATGTCTTGATCCTGATTTATGGTTCAGAAAAATTAATGTCAAGGTTTTCCTTAAGATCCGGGTCGATCTCTCACTTATAGGTAGGGTTGTAGGTTACTGACCAAACCGAAGAACCGATGATTTTTCAGTTCGGATATCGGTTCGGTTCCAGATATCCGATCGACAACCCTACTCATTGGTATCTGACAAAATTAATTATTTTTATTTGATTGGATAAAAACAATTAAAAAAATTTTTGAAAAGGATTTTATAACATATCAATCAATCGAATCTTGCAAAAATTAACAATTTTAAATTTCAGGTCCTCACGTTTACTTGGAACTTTACAGAGGGGCCCTTTCTTTGGAAAATAACCCTAACATATTGTATACACCTAAACCTAGCCAAGTATTTGGTTGCGGCACAGATTATATGAAAATAGGAGCAGTTAGCTGTAATGGATGTGGAGTGATTAAGAAAGCATTGTGTAAGAAGGATTGTAAAGGATATTTTGTACCAAATAAGTTGGATGTACAAGATATTAAAGGAATTTTGAATAATTAATCAAACAAAAAAATGATTGTATAAAATGTTAATAATTTTATTAAGCATAATAAAATAATTTGCTTCTATTTTTAAATTGTTCTAATAAGGGAAGTCCCGGATAGGCAACAATCTCGACTTCTTATTTAATATAGCTTAAACCTCAGACTAGCTTGATCCCTTTTTTGCACTAAGAGAAAGAAAGAGAGAGTTCTTCCTAAGCTGGATCTCTTTTCTTCACTAATAGTTTCAATTTCATATCAATTTTAATATAATTATTTTGTCAGTATGCAACTTAGAGAAACTAAATATTCTGGATCATTAAGTTAGCAAGTAAATTTGACTAAAATTATCACCTTTTTCTAATATTGCATCTATAAAGCGACTCATTATTAGAGACCGGACTGGGAGGGTCGTACGAGAATCGAGATAGAGGTTTTTTAGGTTGCTTTCCAGACATCTCCAATGAGCCAGGAAAGGTTATAGACGTGTCGATAAGTGGGGTACCTTTTCTCCAACAGAATAGATCATGTCTGAATTCCTACATAATATATTAAAATTGTCCGTTATTTTATGTGTTTTTTGTAGTTACTTACTTGTTTTAATAAATTTAAGGAAATTTACACGTTACCAACAAATTTACACGTTACATATCAAAACGCTTATTCAATATCAATTTTAGCCCATACTTATTTAAAAATTTATTTGTTTAATAAATTGTTTGTTTTAATCCAAACAAATGTGAGGGTCTACAATGAAACTGATCAATTTATTGGAAACAAGGGTTAAAATCATGAATGTTGTTTTTTTTTACTTTACTTTTTTAGTTTTTCTAAATTTAATTCTGCCTTTCCTTCCTTCAACTTTTTGAAATTAATTAAGAAATTAAACAGCTAAAAGACAGTTGGAAATGATAGTTTTAAGGGTTCATAAATAGAGATGTAGTGAGAGAATAATTGTTGCTATGTAGTCAAGAGTGTTTTTAAGCAAATAATTTATTTTTTAATTTATAAAATTTTTTTCAATTATTAAAAATTTTCTTAACTTATAATATAATTCCATTTATTTTTAAAATTTAAAATTAAAAAATTTAAAATTTAGCATGTCTAACATCTTATAGAAAGCTGTTTGTTAATTATAGAGTAGTATCTTTTTTATGTACCTTTTGATGGTAAAATATTGTTTGTATATTGAAGTTAGAGATCTGACCGAGAGACAATTCTTGTCATGACTTCCAAGTCTGATATCTAACTGATGGTATCGCATATATGGTTGGAGGCGCCATTCAGTAGGATCCATCTACGACCCGTCTGTAATATACAAAACAGACTAAAAAATTATTTAGTCAAGCTCTGACTGAATAAATTTATTTATTTGTATCATAATATCTGATAAAATATTGTTTGTTTAATTTGTATAAAATAAATTTCCTTCTAAAATTGAAAATTGTTTGTTGGTAATTTTACATCATTTAATGTGTTTTGTATGACAAATTTTCTTGTTTTCTTAGTATTTAGATAAATATTTTCTTTAAAATTTTGCTTCAACTTCATAAAAAAATGCCAACAAATTTATTTACGTATTACGTGTTAAACGCTCATTCAATATACATTTTAGAGCAACATCTCTTTTAAATTTTATTCTTTGACTTGTAAAATCTTCAAAAAACAAGGAAGTATTGTCTACTTTAAAAACTAATTTCTGGCCTATAAAATTTGTTAATTTAAAAATTTATTTCATTAAATCCAAACAAATCTAATTTTCATTAAATCCAAATAATCAAATAAATCTTACAATTAAACTGATCTACCCCCTGAAACAAGGGGAGAAACCTTTCTTCCGTCATTTTTCCGTTTCTCCCATCTAATGCTTTCCGATTTTTAAAATTAGTCTTCAACCCTTAATAAGAACATACATATGTGGTAAAGTCCCATGGCGAAGAGGATAATTGAGAAATTAAACTGCTAAAACAAAAAAGGAGTCAGTATTTTGGTTACAGGCACCTTTCCGGCATATCCAAAAAGCCTGAAAAGGTTCTGTATAGACTGATAAAAGAGGCATCCCTGTCGCTAAATCTTATTTTAAATCGACGGCTATTATCTTTAAATGATTAAAAAAATAATTATTAAAGTTTTAATTGACTCTAGAATATTAAAAATGTTTTATCAACTATTATTATTAATTATATTATCTTTAATTTATTCAACTAATTCACAGCAATGTTCAGGCAAACCTAACTATAATTGCAAATATGGTCCCTAAAATTTTTTTAATTAAAAAATTATAAATTTTTAAAGTTTGTAATGGAATTGACTTTTTGGTTGAAGGATTGGAGAATAGTGATTATGGATTGAGTTTGAAAACTTCTGATTATCAGAGAAGCCGTCCTGCTAATGGTGAATTAAATATTTTGATATTTACCTAATAAAGGAAAAAAGTTTAAGTTCAAAATTTAAGCTGTTAAGTTTAAGCTTGCTAGCATTTGAAACGGAGGCGTTGGTTTAAAAACTTTCTATTGTTTCTTTTATTTTTAATTATTATGTCCGTAATAAATTAACTAGATTGGGTTCTAGACAAAGACAAAATTCGCTCAAGATTTTCCTTATACTGGTCAGCGTCATGATTTGTAATAACAAATAAGGCATTGATGTTCTAATCCTTGGTGAGGCTAATTAAAGAGGGGAGAATGAGTAAATTATAGTTTAATAATGAGGTACTTTAATAACTTTTAAAAAATTAAAGGCTTTGTCAATTGCAATCCAACTCCAACAAAATTAACACTGGTAAATGTATTTTATGACAGCCAAAAAGGCCCAGGAATTTATGAACCTGAAGTAAAATTTAAAGATTGAAAATTTTTTTAATTAAATTTAAAGGCAATTCGGGTCCTTTGTGGTAAAAGTGGAGGAATGAAGAATTTTTGTGTTTGTGATGAAGATGCTAATTGCTATGTACCTGTTAAGAATAATCTTCCTGTATATGCTGAAATAGCGCCTTATTGTGATCAATATGCGGGTAAAATAAATAGGCTAATCACTTAAAAAATAGGAATTAGATCCTCATAGCCTAGCAGATAAAGTAAAAAGAAAACGATCAGTCATTCAGAGATTAACATTCATTGAGCGAGTGATTATCTTAGGACCATGCTCTAGTCACTATTTTGCACAGATAAGTTTTTTGATCACAGCGTCATAGCGTTGGAACGCTCTATAAAATAGAAGAATTACCTGATCTTGAGTCAAGAAAAAAAAACAAAACATCTGACCAGAGCTCAGGAAAATCAGGCAAATGATTGGATTCACAGGCCGATCTATACTTGATACATATCTGCCATATGTAGATGTTTAGTTTACTACAGTTTGCTAAAAAATAAATTATTTTAAACGGATTGAAGAACATCAATCCTAAATTTACAAAAAAAATTAAAATTTCAGGCCCTCACGTTTACTTTGAACTTTATAGAGGAGCTCTTCAGTTGGAGGGCAACCCAAACAAATTGTACACACCTAAATCTAGCCAAGTATTTGGTTGTGGAACAGATTATATGAAAGCAGCAGCTGTCAGTTGTAATGGATGTGCAGTAATTAAGAAAGCATTGTTGAACAAAAGTTGTAAAGGATATTTTGTACCGAACAAATTGGATGTACAAAATATTAAGGGAATTTTGTAAACAGAAGAATAATTTAAAAAATATATAAAATGTTAATAAAATAATTTGTTGATAAAATAACATGTGTATTTTTAAAGTCTCAATAAAGTTATAAATTTGAGGAGCAATTAAACTTGTGTTGGTCCTAACTCAGATTCCACAACAGTCTATTCCCCGACACAAATGTTTTTAATAATTTATTCTCCCTGATATGTCGAAGTTCATTTAAACTTTAAATAGAAACATTGCTTGTTTTATAGTATAAAATAATTTTTGTCGTTCTGAATTTGCCTTCGATAAATGCCACGAAATTTCAGATTTGCTAACCTCGTAATATGCTATCTGATATGAATTTTCGTAAGAATTTTCGTAGGACCTCTCACAACATTCAATAATCGTGAATTCCCTATCGAGTTCTGTCCGAGATTTACCAAGTTTGACGAGCACAAGAATAGAAAATACAATGTAGATGAAGGTGGAATTGGGGCTGGATCAGACAAACGAGAAGAGACTTGCCGGACTTATTTATTATATCATTGCTTATACAATATGTTTACTAACAATATTGTCGGGAAGATTTCTGTGTACTTCATGATGTGATAATAATAAGATCATTTTTAAAAATATTAACCTATTTTTTAATTATTATTCATAAAAATTATTTTATTTTTATTTAGGAATATCGTCATAAAATATATAAAATATTTATAAAATGAAAAATTTTAAAATAAAATAAAATTAAAAAAAATAAAAATTTGAAATGAACCAAAGAATTCTTTTTTTAATTGAAAAAATCAATTTTAACAGCTTTAAAAAATTTGTTAAATAAATACAATCATCCTTGTCTTTGATTTTAACTAGGTCTACATTAAAAATTTTTTAAATTTTTTTTTCAAAGCCTAGATGAAAGTATTTTGTGTGGAATTTATCGTATAATAAATACTTCCTTGTTTGTCGTCGTTTTTTTAAACAAAATATAAAAATAAAATTTATTTTTAAATTTTATAAAAGACTTTTTTGTATTTTTGAGTGTTTAAATATTCTTCCTTGTTTTTAATAAAATTTGAAGGAAAAAAATTTTCTAAAATTAAAATTTAAATAAAAAAATATTTTCATTTCCTTATTACAAAAATATTTAAAAATTATTTTTGTCAAAATATTTACCAAAATTTAATTTGTATTTAAACTAAATATAGAGAGGTATATTTTAACAAATTTTCTTTCAAATTAAAATGAATATTTTTTTAAATTCAATTTATATTACCTTTTTATTTTTGTTGGGTTTTAAAAATAATGTGGAAGCAGTTGAAGGTGTTTTTGTTTGGGATTTAGCTTATAGGTAATTTTGGAATTTTAGAGAAAAAATATAGACTAACAAGAAATTATAATTAAATGAAAGGTGCCTGGTTACTTTCAGGTAACCCTGTAAATATTTATTCTTAATCAAAATTAATTTACGATTTTTTGTTCTCAATTCGGGTTCAAATTTCTTAATTTCCGATTTCCATGTTCACAAGTTTCGGGCAGTTCCTACATAATTTAAGCTATTGAACGAAACTAGTAAATATGGTTTCAGGTTAGAAGCCGAACCAAAGAAATAGTTTTCGGTTTGATTCAGGATGTTCCAAATTTTTGGTCCGAATATATTAGATCCTTATACCTACTCATAATATTTTGATTATATTAAAGTACTGACGTATTTAAATGTTTGAAAAACAATTCTAAAGAATTTGTTATTGCTCAAGCCTTTAATTATAAGGGTTTTGTTGATGAAACTGTAAAATCAAATATTTTAAATGCTCGGGAAGCTGGAATATGTGATGTAGATATTTATGTGTATCCTTGTGTTCAGCTTTCTTACGTTAGTCCGAATTGTGGAAGTGGGAGGTAAATTTATTTACAAATTTTTGGACATGAAATTTAAATCTTGGATTATACCATCAACAGAATCCTAACCCATTAAAAAACTCATAACTTTGTTCATAAATTTCATATTAAGTCAAGTTTAGTATCATAGTCGCAGATCATCGTACGGCGTCGAATGATGCCAAAAACATCAATATTCGACTTTCAAAAACTTTGTTAATAGCCCTGAGGTAACCTGCGATGAGATAAAGAGTCTACCTTATTCTTAAGTCAATATTAATCTTAAAATTAAAAAGTAAACTTTTTACTTTAGTAAAACAATAGACAGCACCCTCAATTATTTAAAAACCAATAATTTGAAAGTTGGAAGGGTTTGGTTGGCAATACTTAAGTTGGGTGTTCATGCTAATTCTATTGGTTGGGATAGCTATTATATAACAAAAAATATTGAATTTATTGAGGTAAAATTTATTTTTTAACGTAAACGAAAGATCTAAAATTGGTATCTTAATGTGAATTATATTTTTATTTGAAGTTTTTTTAATGTCTCATAAATCCAATAATAAATTATATAGAGGTAGACTTCGCTATCAAGTATCCTCTAGGTTGAAATTTATAATTTATATGAGGTAGGTGTCTCTGGCTATCAGGGATCTAGCCGTCCCGATTCCTGAAAATCGGGAATTGAATTTTTATGGCGGCTAGATCCCTGCTGGCTATCGTCTAGGTATCTTTCCCACCAAGTAACCAACCAAATTTTAAAAGCGTATCACAAATTGAGGTGTATCAGGTATCTAAAAAGTGGTCCGACTTTTAATTCAACACTTTAATTAAAATCATTTTTAAAAATATTTCAAAAAAATTTTTCAGGAAATGATTACCACTTTAAAAAAATGTAATCAAGATTTCGGTATATACACTTCAAAAGAAGATTGGTTCGAAATAACTGGAGATACAAAAATATTTAAAAATGTTGAACTTTTGTATGACAAAGAACTTTACAATCAGAATAATTTTTATGATTTTATTAAATTTGGAAGTTTTGTTAAACCTTCAGCCAAACTTTATGATTACACAATAAATTGTGGAATACATGTTGCTAATGCTTACAAACCTTTTTTGAATGGTTGTTATGAAAGCGAAGTTAATATACAGAAATAATTTTATTTTTAAATTGTGGAAGATATATTGTTAAGAAACGTTGAGTAAAAATAAAAGAGAATAAAATGAGTTAATTTAAAATAAAGTAGATAAGGTCTAGGTTTTTTAAAAGTCGAGATTGGCAACGCCAAAATCGAAGTTGAGTGGTGTCCAAACCCCGAGTTGAAGGACAGCCGAAATTTTATAACAATTCTATTAATGTTCAAAATTTAATTAACTTTACCGAGACAACTATCCCCGCCATAATAAAAATTTTTACGCGGTATTGGCTCGCGGTAATGTGGGCGGTGGAAAAGTTAAAAAAATTCTTTTGACCGAGAATTGTCGATTACTGGCAACGCCAAAATCGAAGTTAAGGGGGAGATAAGGTCCAAAAACGATCTAATGGATATCAAAAAAACTATTTTTGATAGAGTACGAGTTAAATGTCAACATGTGAACTTTTAATAATTATTTGAAATAATTATTAAAATATCACAGGTTCGATTTCAGTACGAGGCCTAAATATAAGGGTTCGAAAATATTTTTTAAAGACATTTATCCTGATTTTCCGTTGATTTTTTAGTTTTGATATCTCGATGAAGGAATCACATTAAAATTTCGCTTCTTTTGTATTTTATTTATCAAAATTAATTTAAATTAATATAATTAAGCATTAAAGATGATAGTTTTTAAAGAAAAAGGAAAGAATTTAACAGCCAAATTTTGAAAAAGAAAGTAAAAAACGTTCAACGTTTGGAAAATACTATAATTTCACAACATTTTCTCATTTTCACATTCAGTGACATTTTTTATCTCCACCACACTTAAGGCTTCCACAACAATTATTTTTCTTCGGATCACATGCGTGCCCTGTACCATAACAGGTATGGCATTGAGACACTAAAAAATATATTTATATTCTATAACTTACAAAAGCCCAGTTTTTTATACATAACCGATCGAAATGCGGATAAATACAGAAAAATTATTTAAAATGAACCGATCAGTATTATGTTTTTTCCTTTAATTCATTATTTCAAGAATGCAAAATTTACATTGACAGCTATTGCCTGCGCAACATTCCCTATTCGTAGTACAAGATGCTCCTAACGGAGGGCAACATTGATCTAAAAAATTAAAGTATTATGACATCTCGTTTCAAGACATGGCTGTACTTTAGTATAGCTACACAGAGATTGGAACTCATAATATATACCATTCGATTCATTACGCCGAGCTAAGTTCAAATATGCAAGAATTTTCTGTTGGAGACGAAAACTTGCAGAGATACAGGGGATTGAAAATCGAAAAACCCTAGGGGGAGTAAGCTCGATTTTGGGGTAAAAAATAAGAATATGCAAATTATTACTCATCCGAAAGAGC